AAACAAGGGTGACCTAAGCCTTTGCAAGAACTGGCGCGGAATCACTCTCCTGTCCACCCAGAGCAAGCAAAATATTAAGCCGCATCATCCTGCAGAGACTAAAGGATGCGATGGATTCAAAACAACGACGGGAACAGGCTGGCTGGCTGGATTCAGGAAGAACAAATCATGTGCGGATCAAATTGCAATGCTACGCTACACATCATCATAGAACAGAGTATAGAATGGCAGTCAACTCAACTCTACCTCAACTTCATCGACTTTGAAAAGGCCTTTGACAGCGTCGACCGAGAAGTAATTTTGCAACTGCTTCAACACTACGGAATACCACAACCTCATCCAACACACATATGCTAAATGATGCTACATGCCAAGTGATCCACAATGGAAAGCTCAGTGATGCATTTGAAGTGAAGACAGGAATAAAACAAGGCTGTGTACTATTACCGATGATCTCCCTGATTGTGGTCGACTGGATCATGCAGCAAACAGTGAGGAGCGGGAAGAGGGGGATACGCTGGACCGCGGAAAAGAGCCTAGAAGATTTGGATTTCGCTGATGACGATTTGTGTCTAATGTCACACAAACTCGAAGATCTACAGGCGAAAACTAACAAGTTGACAGAAGTGGTGGGGCAGCGAAGGAAGACGGGACTTCAAGTGAACGTGGAGAAGACGGAGGTGATGAGGATACCAAACCAACACCACCAACAATAACAACAAGCTACAATCACCATGAACAGAAGAAACTCAAAGGAAGTAGCCTCCTCCACCTATCTAGGCAGCACTGTTTCAACCACAGACGGCGGTGGCACAGATGAGGACGTCAAAGCCAGCCAGGATCGAAAAAGCAAGACAGGCGTTCATCAGCCTGAAACCAGTGTGGAGATCTTCTGCACTCAGCATGTGGAACAAGATCCGGATTGTCAACACCAACGTCAGTCAAGTCAGTGCTCCTATATGGTTGAGAGACTTGGCGCGTTATGAAAAGCATTTCCAACAAACTACAGACATTGATCAACAACTGCCGCCTACGCTGGCTCCTTACTTAAGATCAGATCAGATGGCCAGAAAGAACAAGCAACAAGGAACTCTGGCTGGCTGTCAGCGAACCAACCAAGTAGCTGTCACTCAACAAATCTGCAGTAGCAGGAAGTGGAGATGGATTGGGCATACAGTGATAAAGCCGACAGGGGACATCATGTGTCAGGCCAGGTACTCGAGTGGAATCCAGATGGGAAATGACGAGTTGGGCTTCCTAGCTGAGGGTGACATGGAGGCGATGATGTGAGGAAGAAATGAGAGAGCTTCTGGGCTGTTGTGGAGCCAGGTTCAAAAGATTGCGGAGGACATTGTGGTATGGAGACGAGCTGTTGAAGCCCTATGTTCCAGTTGGAATCCGACGGCGAAATATTAATATGATAATTATTTAGTTAGTGTCTCATGAAGATTCCGTGACCGTTGATGATTACGCATGTTAATTTATATTGATGACGTTTGCTAGTCTGGTTTCGAGATTAGCTGTTTTCACATTGAGTTTTCGCTAGGATATCGCTGTGAAAATCTTTGAGGTGTAGATCATTGGTTTTGATGTTTACTCTGAACCAGTAGGTGAAGGGTTCGAAGCCCGCCCTACCTAACGTGGTATGGGTAGCCAAGTAATATCATTAACCGTCACACACTTGGTGTAGCTCAATACCTACTGCACGAGTGTACACAAGGCTACTGAGTGCATTTCGAGCCGATTCGATTTTCAAAAGCCTTGAAATTGGTTATTAGTAAAAAGCTTCGTCACTATGATTTGGGACTCCGCACTGTTTGCAATTTTCACGCTTACTATGACAGATATTCTCGTCTGCTACTTTCTCAGTGATAACACCACGTTTGTCACCATATCTTTTTCTGTCATTGAGGATATATATATGAGGTAATTAACATTTTTTCTTGAACTGAAAGCAGATAAACCAAAAGGCAGATTGAGCAACTCAATCAGAACCTGACAAACTTGCAGTGGTTGAATTTTAATCACCTTGCAAAAACATGGGAAATTCAAATTAAAATAAGGGATGTCAGTGGCCTTCTTGAACTTTAAGTCACGAATGCGATTTTTCACTGGACATTATATCAGATCCCTCTCTTTCACTTTGCTTTAATCTCTTAAATATGTCTTTCAAGTGTATCATTAACTCTTGGGGATTTTTAAAATGTTGCTAACTAGCCACTTTTTGAAGTGATGAAAAGAAGGGAAAGTGCCATATTAAACGGAAATGGAATTTTGAATGCACAAAAGGGTATATTTTCTCTGTTCTTCGTATACCTATCTCGAGTAACACATTCTTCTACTGGCTGAATGAATCGGCAACACTAAACAACGGAAGCTAATCCAGCACCAACCAGCTACTTCACGATATTACCTTTAATGCTGTTATTATGAATATCATTCACATGCCATAATCATTTTGTATGAAAATATTGTTTTGAGAGTATTTCTAAGAAAAAACTACATGTTGAGAATTTCATGCTGTATCAAACATATGATTTGGAATAAAGCTATTGGAATTATCACTATTATTGTTAATATAACAAATAGAGGGAGAAAAACTGAATGAAGGTGCCATAACTTTTCAAAGTTGATTAGCCTAACTATATCCTTTCAATTTTGATGTATCTTCAGGTGCATTATTTAGTCTTCAGCGATTGATTTCTAATATGTCGAAAGAAGCAGCCCTCAAATGGACACTATAATAGTCGTCTTAGATGATGATAAATTTTCTACACAAAATACTAACTCCAAACACAGAATAACTCATCTCTCTTTGAATATGCTTAACAGAAGTCTAAATAACTACACATTAATTTTTCTTGTTCAGAGTTCAATGTATATCCATTATTAGTCAGTGACTATTGTTTTGTTTTGTATTGTTTTGTATATCCATTATTAGTCAGTGACTATTGTTTTGTTTTGTTGATGCTTTTAGTTAGAATAAAAAGAAATTATAGGTCAATACTATAATCATATATACAAAATTTTGCTGTTAATAATATTAAGATCAACAATGATGATTGCTATATATCTTCAGTTTAAAATGCAGTCAGAACCTGAATTTCTTCCAAAAAGCAGTGAAGAAACAACTGATATTTTTGATAGGAGTAGACAGTACAATGTATTACAGTCCCCAGTGCATAAAGAAATTTATAAATCTTTTTGGAGTATTTTATTACTCCTAGAGAGTGGATAATGAAGATGAGCTATGCCGAGTTCATTTCACTGACAGTCAAAAGACATTCTCGTTCGTATTTTTCCGAGGTCGACTGCTCCCGGATGGAAATAATGTCACAGCATCCTTGTCCTTGGTGCCACACGTTTCTCAGAAATTGTGTCTTATTGACTAAATTGAATGTTACTGCTGTTGACTTTATTCTGCCCTAATACTTTTAGCTAATTTAGTCCTGTATAATTTCTCTCCTTTTTTCAAGCTTTTACTGCTCATTAAAAAATCACTTATTCGAACGAAAAACTGCGTCAGTGCAAACATAAGTAGACAAAATGTTATTTATCTATAGCTGGACTGTCTCCTAATTGTTCTTCTTTTAACTCTGAGATAGACATTTTTAATTTTCATGTCGATATTCATAACGGACTAACACTAGCTGATAAACCATTGAAAACCTGGGAGCAATGGACAGCCACTTCCTCCTAGTATGGGATCACTTATCAATGTTAATCCATAACCCAGCCAGGGATCAAACCCAGGACTTTGATGTTTCGCAATGAATGCCTTACCATTGAGCCACTGGGTCAGAACGCAATGAACCATATTTACCTAGTTCTGTCAGCTGGTAATGAATACCAGCTTAAAATTACTGAAATCATCACCATAAACCTCCAAATTGTATTAATGTATATTACTCACTGATGATAATCTTCTAGATGAGGTTCCCAAATTTCTACTGAGAAGCTGTGACCAAGTCGGACGTGAGGATAAATGCTCAACGATTGCATGAGACGAAGCTAGTAATATATTGTGAATTCACAAAAGTAGGAAAGTCTGGTCGATTGGATTCCAACCCAGTGGCTTAATGGTAGCGTTCTCTCTGCGGAACCTGAAGGTCTTGGATTCGGTCTCTGGCAGGGTTTAGTGGATATGCCCTGCTAAAAAGTCGGATACTTAGACGAAACAGTTGGTCATTGCTCTAAGGTTCCCAGTGGTTCTGCAACTAATACAGTGAGTGATGAACACCAACTCAAAATCAATAAATAAATCCTAGCAAACCTCCAGATTTTGAATTTTTTGTGGGAACATTTGCTAAATAGTGCCGAGACAACAACTAAGTTGCACTGAACCATCATTACTGCTTATATAACGTTTTTCGGTCCAAGATAGCAGAGTATAGAACTAGTGGATGGAATAATGTACTAACTCATACAAATTAGCCAAAAAATATCAGCAGACACCATAGTAGAGCACATATCAATCAAGAAGAAGGGACCTATGCTTAGAGACAATAAAAGAAAGAATAATAAATCTCCAATATTCAATAAAGAGTATTCTTGAGCGAAAGCTCAGTAATCTAATTTCAGATAGAATAATTGAAATTTACAAGATTAGAATTACCTCTAAAAAACACTGAATACCTGAGTTTTCCGTCAGTGTATTCTGCTGATTTGACGATGAAATGTCATCCTCTGTTATTATTTTAACGTAAAGGGTAAGATCAATTAGAAACAGGAAGCAAAAAGGCAAATATTTCAACTAGTCTGTTACTTTTTAACGGGTTATTGCTTGTGTATCTCAAAGCCTTACGTGAACATTTATTTATTGATATTTTATACAAAAAGTTTGAAGGTGGGCCTCGTAACTCACCTAGTAGAGCGTGGGAACAGTTATCTGAAGGTCGCTAGTTCAAATCCTGCTTCAACCACCTTTGTGTATCAAAAATAAAAGTCTGCCAAATCACAGATATCTCTGGAAGTTTGGTCGGTATTTTTTTCATCTTCTTCCTACGTATCACTTGTTGTTCTTTGTAATTATTTTTAATTTGTTTAGTAGTGAAATATGTTGCCATTTTTTTAATGGAAATAGTTTTGTTTAGGTGTATTTTGTACATATATATATCATTTCCCTGGAACTAGAGCAGGGTTGTTAATACCGATCAAATTTTCATTTTGGCAGATGTACCACTAACGTGGGAATCCACTGTTAGGCATAGTGTAAGTTAGCAATTCAGCCATACTTTGAACTTCACCATATAAGGTGTGTGAAATCTGACTCTAGCATTATTGCTTCGGCAACAAAAATGCGATTGGCAAGTGTTAAATGGTCCCACTCACAGATACAATTTTAGTGACATTATAAGTAATGCAACTAAACACGATAGAAGCTTTATGTACTAGGCTTTGAGTCACATCTGGTGCATGGGGGCTTATAATACTACTTAATTGTTCAGGTTGAACTATATGTAGCGGAATTAGAGCCAAAAGTTAGTTGCTTGGTAACTGAATGCTTAAGCCAATGAGTCACGTCCTTACTATACTCAACTGCCTAACCGAAGAAAGACAATCCAAAATTCCTAGAAATAAAGTCTAATTGCTAGTGACATGTTTTTACTTAGATCAGTTATACACCCGTGCATATGAATTATACAAAACTATAAGTGAATAGAAAAAGTATTAAGATAGTGTCCATTTTAAATGTCCTATATAAATAGACGTCCTATTTTTGTATATAAAACAGAAGGAAAAAACGTTAACTGACCTATTCTTTCCATTTTTAATGAGTTCCTTAACTATTTATAATCACTGATGAATACTGACGAACAAGGGATGAGGTAAAACAGATCATGAAATGTCATGAAACCCTTGACTAAACTTCCCTTTTCCCTCACATAAATGTACAATAAAACAAATCATATGGTCAAAGTAAGTTTAAACTTTAGCACTCTGCAGAGTATCCACAATCGATGTGTATGTCGATTTGAAGAAAGTTTAGGAATTATTCTTTATGCCATAAATTTTCACTGGAATTCGATATTTGTAATCTTTGATTCATTTACTTTGCAAATATTTAATACCCATAGGTAGTCTGTACAGTAGTATGCTTAGTAATAATCTAATAAAAAATCGATAATTAATATCGCTTGCACATAAAATAATTGTATGCATATGCTAAAGTTTGAATGGGAATTTATCGCTGAATAGTTGAACTATTTTGTCCATATGTCGTTAAATCTTGAGTGCAATTATTATGCTTATCATTATAACTCCTATTTTTTTACAATATCATAATGGTTGATAAAATCTGGAAATGATATTGATCTAGCGATGAGTTTTGATGAATTTCTTCCATTGTTAAAGTTATAGCCAATAAGACTATTTGGTAAGCCGTTGTTTGTGGATTCATTATTTTGATTTCCAATATTATGTAAAATTATATCATCCCTTTTACTCAAATCACTATTATGTGAAATATCAAAGGAATCATTGTACAAGTGAGTAATGTCAGTAGTATTCGGATGATCTGAGTTAAAATGATGTAATATAGGTGAGTGAAGGAAACATTTGTTTCCGGGTTCATGCAACTGCCTAAAACGACTATCCATTTGACAATTCGCTATACCAACAGATCGGTAAACCCTAAATTTATTTTTCTCAGTATTAATATCACTACTTTTATTGATGTAAGTAGACAATAAATTTTCTTCCACATAATTCATTTCATTGTGACTGAATTTGTTCTTGATGTAATTTTTCGCATACCAAGAAAGGTCGTTTGAAAATTCCTCCTTTTGATTTCTTACACTTACAGGTGCTGATAGTTTTCTGTTTTGTTCAAGTGAACTCACAAAACTACTCTTTTTATTATTAGCAGTATGAAAACCAAATTTAAATGTTTTCATGTTGAGATAATGCAAGGCATGTCGTGTAAAGCTCAGGAATCTAGGACAGGCAATCAAAATTAACCTAAACATTAACTCGATCAGTTCTAACACTGTAACACATGTGAAACTTAGAAAAATACTACAAATTCCACCAATCTGACTCAGTAACGTCGGCAAAGTGTATTCCTCATTTTCTTGATATGACATTAATGTATCAAAGTTTGGACGACTGACATCCACTTGTAGGAAATTCTTTTCAAATACGTCTGTGTGCTGAAGCATAGTTAAAGCCTTTGTTGCATTGGTCATGGATATTTCTTCAATTCTTTCATAAATTTCAAATTTTCGATTATAATCTATACGATCTTTTAGTTGAGCGTAATAATTTAGGATGCGTGGCTTTTGTGGCCATCTTAGCTGGGTCAACTCATAATTGTATTGCATTTGTACACAAGGTGTTGGACATAATTGGCGGAAATGTTTTGAATTTCGCTGTCTTACTTGTTGGCTACAAACAAGACTGTCATTCACATGAGCACGTGATAAATTTCCACAAAACGGCAACTGGTTAACTAGATCCATATGTGCACCCGGTATAGGCATTAGAAAATCAATACAGTGACATTCTTCCATAGTGGCACTCTGTGATAACAACTGTATACATAATCTATCTGTATAGCTCATGATACGCTGACTAAATTTTTGTTTGGCATGATCGAAGTAAACAACTGAAAAGTTGCGTGCATTATTTTCACACGGTTTCGATTCCATATTTTTTTTCTCAGTACGACGCATGCCATCGATAAGAATTTGATTCGATGCACCAGGTAGTAGATTCATGCTAGATGTTTCAATGTCTGGATAGGAACCAGCAGAATGGACAACAATCTTACTTCCTGCCCATTCAGTAAACTCATGTGTACAGTACGGTCGACAATTTAAATCCTCCTCTTCATCCAGATATAGTATTACTGATAAACGAACAGCATTATTACTTATATGCATATCTTCCATTGATAATGTATAACAGTTGAAATATTTATACGTGATTAGGTGTAAGCCTTGAACGCCTGCTTCTTCACACTTTCGTTTGACCATAATTCCACCTTTCTCTCTCGTTGTTACCTCACAAAATATGGGTAGAATGAAGTCATCCATTTGATGACCAATTTGTGTAGCTGCCTCCATTCCAATCAGCTGATAGAATATTGCAACCATACTTGGGTCCTCTAGTTTATACCAGATAGCTGAGCCTCTGTATGTCTTAAAGTATCGGTTAGCTTCTTGATATTTTGTCAGAACATTTGAATATTTTGGATTGATGTTGCATCCTTTTACTTGAGGATTCTGTAAACAGTATACACGATACGAATTGACTGGGTCAACATTACACAGAGTGATATGTGGGAAAGCCACTTGAATTCCACGTAAGGTGCGTATATTTTCAATTGTGTTAAATTGGTAGTAGTGGATCAGTAATAGGGTCACCAATCCAATGTTAGCAAAACACATCAGAGCGACGAATACAGCCCAAATTGTACGTAATAGTGGGTGGTCTGCACGCACTAGATGCTGTAGTCCCCGAACACTGGTCCATCGGCAAAATGATTGTAATACATCTTTACAACTACTTCCAGCAAATACAGGCTTCGAAGGCATTTACCTTGTGGAAACTGGTGAAGATAAGTGTCAGTGCCTGAGGAGTTAGGTGGAATGCATCAGATTCAGCCTACATTTGCACATTCAATTTGGTGAGACATTATCCTTGTTGGTTCATTGCCAAAAAAACATGGGAAATATTCAAGATCCAGGCAGTTATCATTGGAATGATGATTTGTAAACCGAGGATGAATTGGAACATGGCAACATGCTTCACACCGCACATGAATTCATGTGTTGTGTTGGTTGAAGAAGTTTCAAGGCATAAATACGCTTTGTAATCCAATGAAGACTTCAAGTAATTGATTTCATTATACTGAATTATTCATTTGCATATAACTGGGGAAACTGGATGACTGTGTGTCTGGTCACAATATATGTGTGCGTGTGTATATGTTTCAACATCTACCTACCTATATCTGTATATCCATAACCTTGAGATTGAAGGAATGAGGTTAAAAGCTGTTTCCTGATTGGATTAAACTGCAGTCAGGCAAATGGATCTAGTAACCAATGAAATGGAAGTAGTAGATCAAAATTTATGCCACTACCTTCAATTTGCCTAGGGTATTTCTTCAAGCCTACTTATAAGGTGATTATATCCCACCTAGCGCCTCGTAAGAATATTTGAAACCAGTCTAGTTTTACTCAGGATACATAAGCTTATCGAAAGACACTAGTGTGAAGCGACACAGTGATTACAGCAGCCATCATGTAAACGAAAAGGCGATTGCTTACTGGTTACGTTTGAAGGGATGCTTGAATGCATATTCTGAGGCCTGGAAAAAAAGAAATATTTTTTCCTATGTCTTATTGCCAGTGAGCCACATTAACGTATTCAGCTTATAAGATCCTTGTCTAAATGTATGTCATGAGTGTAAGTGATTGGTTGTCGATATCCCAACAACATGGATCTCAGCAACTGCAGAGATAGTTAAAAGTAATTCGTTCCAAAGTTAGAAACTGCTAAGTGAAATTAATCTCACCAAATATTTTACACTCTTTGTGAGTAGTTTACTGGAAACACATTTATCACTCCCAATGAATTACTCAGCACTAGATGTCTCCCAATTTTAATGGGATTCAGAGATAGTAGGGATTGAACAGAGTAGGATACTACAGTGAAGACTAATTACCATGGATTCTGCAAAAATATTCGGTTTTAAAGTACAATGGAAGTTTATCTAATTTCTGCAACAATCGCGATTTCACTTTACAAATTTTACTTGCGTATTGATTTTGGTGTACTTTGTTTATAGGCTACTTCGTTACCGCCTAAGGAAAGTGTGTACTAGAAGGGTCTCGAATATTTATAGTTTTAGAAGAGAAATTCAGACGGGTTGACAGAATTAGTGACCAGTTGGTCAAAAATCATTGTCTTTATCCCTACGCCTCCCCTTAGTCTCTAGTTAACTGTAATTTTGTCTTGATTACTGTTACTTGCTTCCTCATGATACTCATAAGTTTCGTTTTGAAAATCCATGAGTATTAGGAGGGTAATGGATGAAACTTTGATGATTATATCTTTGTAACAAGGAGTGAAAGGAACTAGGAAGTAAAGATCATTGAATGTCATCTCTGAAGCGTTCTCAGCATGATACTTGATGCTTCTGGATTTGAACCTAGGAAGGGGTTATGGGTACAAACTTCAGAGGAGGCGTAAGATAGAACGAAAGAGATTACCGATGATATCTGGTTTTCAATTTATTTTTTGAAGCTGTTAAAGTATGTGATAGAACCATCTTCATACATGAAATAAATTCGATGTTACAGTGATCAACAATGTTATACATGATGTACACTTTACATTTTGACTTTATCACAAATAACTTGCTACCAAGTTTCTGTAACCTTTTGCCCAATACATGAATCACTTTCTCTGACATCACCTACGATGTCATTTTTAGTCTATAGCATCATTTGTTTTTTCCACTTGGTGTCTGTATTGATTCTCATTTTTGCGCTTTCATGCTATTCTACTGTGAACAGTTACTACATCTTTCATGCAAGAAGTTCAAGGGTTCTTATTCAAATGGTCTATCAGGAATTAAAACTGTTTGAAAAGAGAATCACTGAAAACTGGAGGGAGCTGAATATCCACTTCTTCTTGGTTTGGAACTCCTTAGAAGTACTCATGGCCAAAGTTTAATGGGCTGATTCCTTATTTTTCGCTGTGAGCAAGTAAGGATTCACATATACTGAAAATACATGATGAATACTCTCATTTTTGACATACTTGTCATGCAATTTAATCATTTTTAAATGCCATTGATAAGTAAGCCTCTAATTCCGTTTTGTTTGCAACATAAATTTGTATTAGATTTAAGGATGCAGATCCTAACAAGGAATTTGTTGAATAGCATGTTCCTTATCAGCTGAGTGTAACTTCAGCTCGACGGTGGTTGTTAATAGGATCTGGGACTTGGTTTTTGTCCTATTTGGGATTCATCAACCAGATGTGCTAGTATACCTGTAAGTAACGGTATTCCTACTACTATTGGAATCCAGTACCATTACTTCAAATGGGTCATATCACTATCGATTACGCTACTGAGCGACGAGAGCCAGTTTTTGTGCAGTGGGTGCCAACCAGAAAAAAAGCACCCCTGAATTCCACCACTAGGCAACGCCAAGTACAGTTTGTCACAATGAAACTTGAGATAATATCAAGGCATTTGTCTAAGTATCCCACAGAAAGATCTATTTGGTCCGGTATAATAATCAGCAGGAAATTGGCAGCATCTGTAAATAATGAATGTAATTGTATCTGTAATTTATGTTTATATGAATGTTTATTTACCATTTCCGAAGGCTTATAATCAAAGTAAAATATATAAAATGTGTTGACTAGTACCTTTAAACTGTGAGGTTACCTCAGTTGAGTAAGACACTGACAAGTTTCGACACATGTATTCGACAAAACTTTACATATTTCAGTATTCAACTTGGAAGTTTGTAGTGAGTTTATTGATTTCAGGTTGATACTAATCATGAGAGAACCTTTAAAGAGAACCTTTAAAGAACTGTAAACACTGTAAAGCTAGTTCTTTCTAGCATGGGACTTCTCAGCAATGCACACTTGCGACCTTGCCAAAGGTTGCACCCAGGACCTGAAGGTTCTAAGGAAGCCTGTTACCATTGGGTCATTGGCTCAAAATCTAATTACCCATATTTTCTTATTTCATTATTTATGTAATCAGTTAAATAAGATGAACAGATGTGTTAATTCGATATGAAACTGCATAAGTCACTTACTAGATGAACTATTTATTAGTTGATAAAGAGCCGTTCTAGTCATTTAAAAGAACTTGTAGCTAATTTTACTTCTAAATATAAGGTTATAAACGTTGACATAATGTACATACCAGATACTAACAAAGGCCGCTCAACTGTTTCTGATACCTTACGGAAGTCTGTCGTTCCAGGTGAACTAAGTAAGTACCATGTTAATATGCACATCTTACAGCAAATAGAATGAAGCTCTGGGACATAGATTTAGACATCTGACCTAGATTTAGTGGATCACGAGGTCGAATACCAGTTCACATCATAATAGTCTAAACATTCATTGAAAGTGAAACTGGTAGTCCGGTACGCAATCTGAACAGGGTCGGTAATTTGCAATTCAGTGTATATGAAACGCGATGGATTGAATAGTACATTAGGACACGAAATAATTCTTATATCGTCGGACTGAAGTCCGATAAAGGATCGGGTGTGGTCGTTATGAACATGTCGGATTGTAACAGTGAGATGTTATTTATTCTCAGTGATGAAAGCAAATTTACGTCAGATGTCCTCTCCGAAGCAATATGTAAATTAGAAGACAGAGTAACTTCCAAATTTGTGAAAATGCTCAGCATGAATTTAATCAATAAAGATGAATTCAATTGTCTAAAATCTATGGGATCTGAACATCCACACCTATATTGATTATCTAAAACTCATAAACCTGACAATCCGCTGAGTCTTATATTGTCTGTGTGTTGATCACTCACACATAATCTAGCTAAATGGTTGGCAAAGCTCTTGAGTCCTATCAGAAGCCATTTATGTAACTCACTGAAAGATATATTCGACCTTATTGACTGTTTAGATGATTTTAATATCAAGGATAAGACTATATACTCATTCGATGCAAATTCTTTATTTACTAATGTACCTCTGGTAAAAACAGTTGATATTTTCTGTGACTATATTTCTTCTAAAAGTCTTATGTCCCCTCTCATTCTTAATTTTAAAAGATTTATTATTATTATGTACTAATGAAGTTGAATTCTTATTCGAGGGTGTACAGTTTGAAAACATCGATAGAGTCGCGACGGGTAGTCCATTAAGACCGTTGCCAGCCCACGTATACATGCCATATATTGAAAACAAGGCTGAGTATCTCATCGGAAGGGTTTCACTTTGTAAGACATATATTGATGATATAGTCATCATATGTGAAAAGCCTGATGATGCGTTGTGCCTGTTAGAGAAGATGAACACGGCTTAGAATCATGTTAGCTTGACTTGTGCACAAGAGACGAACAACCAGCTACTGTTCATACATATATTGCTCAGTCGACGGGAGGATGGCTCGATCAGCAGGTCGATCTATAGGAAACCTACATGGACGGGGCAATATCTTAAGATCCATAGCGATTGCCAAGTTCAGTATAAACGTGGTTTAGTTAGATGCTTATCCAACAGGATAAATCGCATCTGCACCGATGACACCACGGAGGAAGAAACCAACTTACTGACGACAACACTGATAAAGAATGGCAACCGATGAGATGTATCGACATGTTCGAAAGATATGTACCATTGAAAAGTACACAATGTTCCGTTGCAAAGAAAAATGTCAACACCTCCTAATCATTTAGAGGTGATTCACATAGCTTTGTTGCTTGAAAAAAACTTAGATCAGGCATCTGCAAAACGCCTTATGCAGTAGACGTTCTCATTATAGAGTAGACAAAATCTATGTTACAGCCCAGACCTAAACAACATATAAAAGATTATATCGCATACCACTGTGTTTATCAATTCACTTGTATGTGTGGACGCACATAAATTATTATTATTTCGATTATTTTTCCCTTCGGTCCTAAGTAGAATATGGGGCTTTAATATCACGCCTCTATCGCACTCTGTTCTCTGCAGTCTTTTCAACCTGGCACCACGACTGACCACAACCTTTCATTTCTTCCTCACAAGATCTCCTCCATGTCACCCTTGCCTCAACGCCCAACTCGTCGTTTCCCCTTTGGATTCCACTCGAGGGCCTGGCGCTGGATATCTCCGAATGGTTTGCTAAGTGTATGCCCAATCAGTCTCCACTTTCTTCTTCTGCATATTTGTTGGACGATGGGTTGTTGGTTG